AGTGTTGATTTTTCTAATTTGTAATGTAGTTCAAGCTCTATTTGGCATGGATGAACAATGGAGAGCCTAAATTTTTCTGGGTGAAGCTAAAAAGGCAAAGAAATTCTTATTGATGTATTTCATTTTCAGGTCTTCAGATGGATGCAGAAACAGCGCTGGTATATTGCTGACAATGGGGTTTATTCTAAACTGATATCTATTATGGGAAAGAAGGGCCAAATTCGGATGGCTATATGGCTCTTTTCCGAGATGCGAAATAGTGGGTGTCGACCTGATACTTCTGTCTACAATGCACTTATCACAGCGCACCTTCATTCTAAGGACAAAGCCAAGGCTTTGGTTAAAGTCCTTTGGTACTTTGAGAAGATGAAGGGAATGGAACGGTGTAAGCCAAATGTTGTTACTTACAACATTCTTACCAGAGCTTTTGCTCAAGCTGGAAAAGTGGATCAAGTTAATGCCTTGTTTAAAGATCTTGATGAGAGCATTGTTTCAGCTGATATATATACATATAATGGAGTGATGGATGCATATGGGAAAAATGGGATGATCAAAGAGATGGAAACGATGCTTGCTCGCATGAAAAGTAATGAAATCAAACCAGATATCATATCCTTTAACTTGTTGATTGATTCATATGGGAAGAAACAGCTATTTGACAAGATGGAACAGGTGTTCAAGAGTTTATTACGATCGAAGGAGAGGCCGACACTACCTACATTCAATTCGATGATCACAAACTACGGGAAGGCACGACTTAGAGAGAGAGCTGAAGAAGTTTTTAGGAAGATGAAGGATATGGGATATGATCCAAGCTATGTCACTTGTGAAAGTCTAATAATGATGTATGGTCACTGTGACTGTGTTTCTAAGGCTAGAGAAATCTTTGATGGAATGGTTAATTCTGGGAAGGCGGTGAGAGTCTCGACCCTCAACGCCATGCTTGATGTTTACTGCATGAATGGTTTGCCCATGGAAGCCGATTTGCTTTTCGAGAGTGCGAGTAGTATGAAGGTGTTTCCAGATTCAACAACATACAAGCTTCTGTATAAAGCTTACACCAAAGCTGATGCGAAGGAACTTGTGGAGAAGCTCTTGAAGAACATGGACAAAGCTGGCATCATTCCAAATAAGAGATTCTTCCTCGATGCTTTGGGAACTGTTGGATCTTCACCAGAAAAACCAGAACCTGCAAGAACTGGAACAGGTTCAAGACACTCAGAAAGTAGTGTGGAAAAACCAATATCTTCAAGAAATAGAAGAGGTTCAAGAAAATTGGAAAGTAGTGTGAAAAACCATGCTCCAGAGTTAGGCTTAGCTTAAGAAGTTATGTAGTCGGTCTTCATTCATAAGGAGCTTCTTGACTTTCCCCATTGGAGAAAGGTGCTGCAGTTCAAAGAAAGATACAGGAATGTGGAGTGTTAACAAGAAGTCAAAATTTTGTATATATGCTCATATCTTGTCTCATAAAATCGGGATATATAAATTAATTCAGTGATCATCAGGGAGCCTTCTCTCCCATCTGATCTATTTTTTTGCTTCATAAGCTATTGGAAACTGTTTCAGTGATCACAGAAAATGTCTGGAAATAAAGACCAGTCAAGAGTGATGATAAATTTGCGATGCAAGATTCTCAACGAATAATGGAGGGAAATTAATGGAGTAAAAGCTGATTTAGCCTTTGATTCACTTTTGATCAATATCAACATCAAGGTTCACAACAAATATTCATACACAGAAATCTAGTGGAGCTATTGTGCGTTTGTTCATGCTCGTTCCCTCGAGTAAAAGCACTCAAATTCTTAGTTATACACAAGGAGTAGCTTTTAATAAGCAGTAATCAAAAGGGTAGATACATGGCAAGTAGGTTGATAGAACGACCAGTGGAACGATGCTCAGGACGATTGCATTTGAAGTTCTTTCTTTAATTGACAAGCAGTCAAGTGGCCTTGAATCAGCAAATCAACCCTCTTCTGATTCTGCACATTAATTTGTCTATTAGAAAAATTTAGAAGCATGATAAACATATATACCCACCAACTTATTTGGCCTACTCGTTAACATTTCCAAATTGTACATACCATGGATTGCTTCCATGTTGTCTTCCCTGTAAACGCCAAGCGGGGATATCCATGGATAGATACAAGCACCTCCCCCGGCTTTGGCAGCCTTCGGGTTTTTGGCGTCATTCCAATAGACAATCTTTGGTTACTTACCTACAGAACGAGAATTAGTTAGCTTATTGTAGAATACACTAAAAGAAAGGCAAACCAGACTTAAGAAACAGTTACCTAAACACATTATTCTTTTCCTAAAAAGATAGAAAACTTTACTGAAACAATTCCCCAAACAACGTTACCAAATGTAAACCATGTTTTTTAACTACAGCCTTACTAATCTTTGTACTAGGAATTCATCTTTGCAGCTTCCTTCCATGGGATCAAGATTTTCCTCGCTTTTTCTAAATTTCAATGCGTCAATATATATATATATATATATATATATATATTTAATCTATAACTAAAACTTGTAATGGTAATAATAACTTGAAATGAGACCAGCACTTCCATCAATCCCTTTGCAATCGAATCACACTGTAGTGATTTATTGTTACGTACAAAATTATACTTCAATGAGTAATTATCAATTATTGCCTCCCAATAACCTTTTTGTATCCTTGTCCTGCAATTGATTTTTCACCTCCAGTTGATAACTTTGATCAGATGATAGCAGAGTACATTTAAGAATATGAACAACCTTTATCATGGTATTGATATCCATAGGAACATTTCCACTGAAGACTCAGCTATAATCCAACGTTCCATGACTAGTATTTTCAAATAGCATTCTTTTGTAAAACCAATACCAGTAATAAAGATCATTTACAATTTACCGGAGTATACAAAGTACAAATCTTATCGAGGTGAGTTTGTGAGCTTCAACTATACCTAACAGGAAAATCGTCTGAACCTATTATAATTGGCGATCAAAAATACTTGCAGGATATTAAATCTTACGTAGCTAAGATGGCCACTATGTGTTGAACTCATTTTCTCTAAGCCGTTTACACTATTTATATAGTGGACCTTGTTAACCACTAAGTCTAGTCTAACCGATGGTCAGCAACAAGATTCCAACTCATTACCAAGACAAGGACATCGTGTATCCAAACTTATTGAAGTTCAATATTAAGCTAGATAATTGTTTATAATTAGTTTATATACACAAGTTCGCTTAGGCACCCTTAATTATTTGAAACAAAACATCAATAATTGATTGCAGACACGCTACCACTACAGTAATTCTATTCCTTTGACCCGGAACGTATATGTGCCTAAATAATTTGAGTCAAGAGAACCACCAAATAATGAAAAAATGGCATAACAGACAATTATAGAATATTAACATGAAACGGCTAACTTGATAAGCGATGTGCAAAAACCATGAAGATACGAACCCCAGGAGTTCGGAGAAGGTCTGGCATGCCAAGCACCATGTTATCTGAGGGTTCCTCCAAAGCCTAAAAAGCAAGAATTGTCAATAAATATATCAGTCAATACCAAAGCGTACACGGTTTTATTTCTCGTGAAGACGAGTAAGGGATTCTTCCACAAAACAATAACATGAAACAAAAGATATAGACAAACTAAATCATACTTTGTGAGCTCACAAGGTATCACTCATTCTACTGGTCTAAATTTAAGAATTTCTAGCAAACAATTTAAGATATCAAATGTACAATTACTTTACGAAGTTCGGAATTTGCAGGTTCTCAACATTGAAAGGATTTGTTTTCACTGCCACCAGTAGAGAAAGAAGATGAGTTACAGCAATGAAACAGGTGTACTTACCAATTAGTTTTACGCACCAAAATCCAAAATCTACAGATACCTGATTTACTGGAAAATTCAAATCCATTAAAAGATCGCATTCCGGCAGAGCAGTTAGGGTAAGCTGTGGACAGGCGATGCAGGAGAGAAGCATGTATATCTATTCCATCAGCTGGATTAGTGTGTAATTCATCCTCTGTATCCTTCCATTGCACTTCAATTTCTCCTTGTTCGCCTCGTCTCGAAATGGACAAGCTAGGAAGTTTTTCTTCAAAAAATTGCAATAGAGGAGTTTGCAATTGCTCTTTGTTGAAATACGAACGCAGCAACCGCAATTCAGTAATCAAACGCTCGATTTCCACATCCCGAATGGCACGGATTGCAGTAGCATGCCGTTCAACTAAACATAAACAATGGCGAAAGCAGCGCAACAATTATGTTAAATCCTCGGACAATTTTAACAGAAAATTTTTTCTTCCTTAAATCAAGTTCCGGCTTCCGGAAAAAGAATCGGAATTACTGCGAATTTCAACATACCATCCTCGTCGGACACCAATGATGCTTGATCCTCACTTTTTAGCTCATTCGCTGATCCATCCTTTGCTTCTCGAATAGGTGAAGGGCTGGACTTCTTAACTGACTTCTTCGCCTTTCGCCTTGCCATTTCAGCAACCAGTCTTTCTAGGCTTTACTGGACTACTCACGTTGCAGCATTCTCAAACGAATCCGCACTTTGTCACTAGATTTTCATAAACGAAAATAAAGACTTTCAAACCCTAAATGTTGTTCATAGTGTAATTAATTGAAGTTCGCAGTGGTAATGACATAAATAAACACAAATGAAAGTCAATAACCTGAATTTCTAACAATTGGTTTCCAAGACTTTAGGAAATCTAACCACCGGAGACAGGAATGAATGGATTTAACTACGCCGGTGAACTGCTGCGAAATCTCTCTCTCCTTCTTTTCAGCTCCGGCGGAGGGGCAGTGTTGAGATGCGGGGAAGATTGGGCGGGGAAAGAAGCTAGTTTGAAACTGAATAATGCCGCTGACGGTATGAGAATGGCGCAGGTTGGATATTACAGATGTGCTTAAAATGGGCCGTTGAGCCCAGAAAGTGGGGCTAAAATGGGAGAATATTTAAGTCTTTCTTAAACTTTTTAAACCAAGTGTCATTCGACTCAGACCAGGCAGTGGCTATGCCACACCATTTCCCTCATTTTGGCATGCATCCTCAGTAGCTTCGAAAGCAAAGCACCTGAGCCTCGGTCTCCCACCAATTTGGCTATCTTTTGAAATTGATGGCTATAAATTCATGGCGAGGTTAAACATTGGGGTTGTCTTTCGTCTCTGGATTAATCTTCAATTATGGAAGTTGCTCATGCACCCACTTCTTCTGACTTCTTTGCACATATCCTGCAAACAAGCGTCAGAATCAGAGACCCATTTGCCGGAAGGTCAGTGCACTCTCAAATAATCAAGAAAGGCCTTCATCTTGGCGTGTACTTGCTAAATAATCTTATGACCTTCTATGCTAAAACTGGGTCAGTTAGGGATGCCCACCATGTGTTCGATGAAATGCCCATTAAGTCAACATTCTCATGGAACACTTTGATCTCTGCGTATGCTAAACAGGGCAATTTCGATGCGTCGCGTCGCCTTCTGTATGAAATGCCTGATTGCGACCCCGTTTCTTGGACTGCGATCATCGTGGGTTACAATCAATTGGGTCTATTTGATAATGCGATTGGAATGTTTGCGAAGATGATATCCGAGAGAGTCCCGCCTTCTCAATTCACGGTCAGTAATGTTCTTTCTTCCTGCGCGGCAAATCAAGCTTTGGACATTGGTAGGAAGATTCATTCATTTGTTGTCAAACTCGGACTTGGCAGCCACGCTTCTGTTGCAACTTCCCTGCTGAATATGTACGCAAAATGTGGAGATCCGGTTATAGCGAAAGTTGTTTTTGATAGGATGACGCTGAAGAACATTTCAACGTGGAATGCTTTGATTTCATTGTACATGCAATCTGGGCAGATCAACCTTGCTGCTTCACAGTTCGAGAAAATGCCTGACCGAGATATAGTTTCTTGGAATTCGATGATTTCAGGTTATAATCAGATAGGGTATGATCTTGAAGCACTGAATATCTTCTCGAAGATGTTGTATGAATCTTCTTTAAAGCCAGATAAGTTCACCTTGGCAAGCGTTTTATCAGCTTGTGCCAATCTTGAGAAGCTGAATATTGGAAAACAGATACATGCTTATATTCTAAGAACAGAAACTGAAACTTCTGAAGCAGTAGGCAATGCTTTGATATCAATGTATGCAAAGTCAGGTGGGGTAGAAATAGCTAGACTGATTATTGAGCATAACAGGACTTCAAATCTAAACATTATAGCGTTTACTTCCCTACTGGATGGATATACCAAGCTTGGAGATGTTAAACCAGCCAGAGAGATATTTAACAAATTAAGAGATCGTGATGTGATTGCATGGACAGCCATGATTGTTGGTTATGTGCAAAACGGGTTATGGAACGAAGCGCTGGAACTGTTTCGGTCGATGGTTAACGAAGGCCCTGAGCTGAATAGTTATACCCTGGCGAGCATGCTGAGTGTAAGTTCAAGTTTGGCTAGTCTGGAGCATGGAAAACAAATCCATGCCAGAGCCATAAAAGCAGGAGAATCTTCAACAGCTTCTGTTACTAATGCCTTGATAGCCATGTATGCTAAAGCTGGAAGCATCAATATAGCCAAAAGAGTTTTTGATCTTACCAGCGGGAAGAAGGAAACTGTGTCCTGGACATCAATGATCATGGCTCTGGCGCAGCATGGCTTTGGAGAAGAAGCCATCAGCCTGTTTGAGAGGATGCTTTCAGTTGGTATGAAACCTGACCATATCACTTATGTAGGAGTGCTCTCTGCTTGTACACACGTGGGATTAATAGAACAAGGTCGAAATTACTATAATCTGATGACTGAAGTACATAAAATTGAACCTACTCTAAGTCATTATGCATGTATGATCGATCTTTATGGACGAGCTGGATTGCTTCAAGAAGCATACCAATTCATTGAAAGCATGCCTATAGAGCCAGATAATATAGCTTGGGGATCGCTACTAGCATCTTGTAAGATCCATAAAAATGCAGATTTGGCGAAAGTTGCAGCGGAAAGACTGCTTCATATTGATCCTGGAAACAGCGGCGCTTACTCAGCTCTTGCTAATGTATATTCAGCTTGCGGGAAATGGGAAAACGCTGCCAAAACTAGAAAGCTGATGAAGGATAGAGGAGTGAAGAAAGAAAAGGGATTTAGTTGGATTCATATTAAGAATAAAGTTCATGCATTTGGAGTTGAAGACGTTATTCATCCACAGAAAGATGAAATCTATAAGTTGATGGATGAGATTTGGGAGGACATCAAAAAGATGGGGTTCATCCCTGACACTGAATCAGTGCTTCATGACCTTGAAGAAGAGGTGAAGGAGCAGATTCTTAGATATCACAGTGAGAAACTTGCTATAGCATTTGGTCTTCTGAGTACACCAGAGAACACTGTGCTGAGGATTATGAAGAACCTTAGAGTTTGTAATGACTGCCATTCTGCCATAAAGTTCATCTCCAAGCTTGTAGGAAGGGAAATCATTGTGAGAGATGCTACTCGATTTCACCATTTTAAGGATGGCGCTTGTTCTTGTCGGGATTATTGGTAGGCGTAATCTTAGAGATTTCATCCACAAACGAATACTCGTTGATATGACAAAAACACACACACCAAGCATGAGAAAACCAGGTACGTTCTTCTTCTGTTGCTCTTTTCAAAGTTTGGTTTCATTTTAGAAATCTCCCTAAATCAGCCATACAAATTAGCATACTCTCTATTCCTTTTTTCTTTAACATAAATCCCACCTTGACTGCAGAACATCCATTGCTGGGTTCATCTCAAAAGATAGCTACCATGGATTTTCATGGTTCATCTCTAAATTTTTAACTAACTTACATGTTTTTCCTTTGAACTTTTAAAATTTGAATCACAGCCCGCCTACATTTACTCTACATTTATATCAAACTCTTTTCTGGTAGTGTTCTGTCACGTTTGATTGATTTAAAGTCGTGAGACCTCGTCGGTTGGAGGGGGGAGGAAGCATTCTTTACACGGGTGTAGAAATCTCTCCCTTGCAAACGTTTTTTAAAACATACCAAACGAACCAAAGCGAATAATATCCATTAGCGGTTGATTTGTGCGGTTACAAAAATAATAAATTTACAGTGAAAACTAAAAAATTGTAAATTTGAATTAAAATTAAGATCATAGGTTAAAACGAATCGACCTTGTCTAAACCCAGTTCTTTCTTATTAGCTAATAATTTTATTATCTATTTTTTCTAGATTATAATTATTTGTATATCCCCATTCCAAAGGGGAAATGCATGGAAGTCCCTTCTTTTTTATATAACACATCATATTTATGATCTTGTAGGACTATATTACACATCATCCATGGTTTCTTCCAAGAAGAACACGGATAATTGGGCCAGGAATGGGCCTGGGTTAGGAAAGGCCCATACCACGGCCTTGCTGCAAATATAAGCTCATCGGGTTTTTTTTGTTAAATTAATAGATCCTTTCATTATTATTAATTTATTATCGACGACGTCTTGTTTCTTTTTTTTTATATATTTTATTTAATTTATGATTTGAATATGTTTGGTCTGAAGATAGAGTCGTTGAGATGCTTAAAGTTGGAAGGCATATTAAATTTAAATCATAGTTTAAAAGAGGGGGGAAAGGCGACGGAGACTTTACGGAAAAAGACAATTTTGGTTGGAGGGAGGGTGGTATGTAATAAATGGAAAAGGCCGTTGCTGGAAAAGTAAAAAAGGAAAAATGAAAGGACCAAAGGGAAAATTGATGAGAAAAGTTATCCGAACCCACACCTGTCCATTGAGACTCATTGGGCAGCTTAAAACGCGGACTTTTTTACAAGAGTACGACGCTGCCCGATCTGCCCGATACCGGTCTGGAAAATTACGGGCAGTCGGTCTCCAGTAATCGCTCTCGCTTCTCTCACTTCCCACCTCACCCCCTCAGCCCACCCTACCCTTCCCTCCCACCCTTCTCTGAGAGCCGCCGATAATTCTATATCTTCGTTTCTCTGTGTCTTTTCAATCTCGATCGGACGGTCCAGAATGAACGTTGCTTCTTGTGCTTCTTTTCTGTGATTTTAGATCGCGGTACGTCCAGATCTACAATCTCCCTGCTCTGATCTGTCTTCTCGGTACGCTTTACTCTCAATTCTTTGTTGTTTTCTCCCTGTATCTGTATCTGTTTTGTTTCCTCTATTTGAGCTCGATCTCTTCTTGTTTTCTGATTTTTTGCTTCATCTTGCTTGTTTTCTTCAGTCTGCTAGTGTTTCGAGGTCGTTCGTGGACGATTTAACTGAATTTTCTCTGGTTTATGGTCGTTTTACTATGAACATAGAGTTTAATTTCTCGTATATCTATGGTTTTTTGTCACTTTTGTGCTGGATTTACCGTTGACTTTATGGACTCTGGAATTTTTACTTCACTGAAAGTCGACGCGTCTTTGCTCTCAAGAGGATGCGTCAGAAATTTTCCTCTGCTTTTTTTTTTTTTTCTTTTTATAAAAAAGTATTTGAATATTACCTAGAATGAGCCTTTTTGGATTTATTACCCATGGTCAAACCCCAGGATAGGCGGTAGAAACTACCAAATCAACACGGTAGGAAGCTGGCTGAGAGACTGAGAGACTGAGAGACAGAATTTCCGGTGGAGTTGGTGTTTTGTCATAATTTCAATTTTTAACGGCTGTTGAAATTTTTGGGGACAGATCTGACGGCGACCAGCTCTCTCATCAATTTTTTTTTTTTTTCCCCTCTTTGCCTTTTGATGCATTCGCAGGAAACAGTCGCCGCGCGAATGGAGATAGCAAATGCTTCAGCAGGTGTCACGCTCCGCGATGGCTCACTCGCACGCGCTAGTGAAGGGTTAGCTGCTTTACTAGCTTCGGCTCTGGTCAACACCCAGCTCCTGGCTCAGGCAAGGCACTTTCTAAAGTTTTTTAATTTCTCTCATTTCTAAGTTCAATCAATCCAATTAATAACTTTTTCCCTTTTAAAAGAATTTTTTGGTCGCGTGATATGCTAAGAGTATGCTGGCTGTGCTTTCCTTTTAAAAGAATTACTCTCTCATTTACTGGATGGTTTTGGTGTGTTTCCTTTGGAAGTCCGCTGGCTTTGGCCAACTGTTTGATGTTGGCGACTTCGGCTGAGCTTTAGTCGGTAGAGTAAGCTGTAGCCTGTGTAGAATAGGTGTGAAAATATCCAATAGGCATCCACCCACTGCCACTCCTTCATTTGGCTTAAACTGATCCCCATCGTACGGCTATGATTAGATTATTTTGGTTGATTTTTTATTAAAAAAAATGTTTATTTTTTCAAAATTATTATGTAGAAAGTTTTTTACTGTTTTCTTTTTCTAGGAAAAGTTGGGAGTTCTCGAAATCACTGTAATCACGCGTCTTGGGATTCTTTTGGATTTATCTTTCCCCCTACTCTTTTTCTATTGGGACATCATCTCATTGACCCCACTTGATGGGTTTCGGTGAGGTGTGATCCAAAATTTACGGAAATGCCCTCACACCGACGACTTGAATAACACGCCATACCCTTCTTTTACTTCCACTTCATTTCAGTGGTTGAGGATACACTATTGATGGCTCGCAATTTCAAATTGAATTACAGAGTTGTCGCTAGATTTATTCAATTTGATGGGAAATTTCATTAAACAGTTGAAAGATATGGAGAATCTCCTTTTTGTTGGAATATTTAGCTCTGGACTCGGGCTCGAATTATTCTTGGAGTATTTGTGACTTTTATGAGGATAGTTTGATTAGGAATCAATCTTAATACGTGGTTTCGAGTGCCCCAAAGAATCATATTTTTGAACCTTCCCATGTCTATTTCTTACTTGATAGTACCCCGCAAGTTGTGATTGGGAGAAGTGTATTCCTTTCCCATCATCCTCCTGCTTTCTGCTTCTTAATGGTGTGGATGCCATTTCTGACATCCAATTGATGTTGCCAATTAAGCTTAGTGGGTATTTCAGACGTTAAAGCCAGTCCTTATGACGTTGGTTGGTGAAACAGATTCCGACAAGAAAAGACGGTTTAAAATAAAATATGGTAAAAAATATAAAGTGGAGGAGGTAAAAGTAAAAAACAGAGATTGCCAAATTGAAGGACTGAGACTCAGGGCAGGCCAACAAGATGCTAGGCCCTGGCCAGCAACATGTACGCCTGCCGTTCTATTATTCATTTCTGTTAACACGCCCCATTGTAGTCTGTTAGAAATTATAAATAATAAATCCTTATCACTACTAGCCATCAAGTTTTAAAATTGTAAAAGGAAACGAACCTGATTAATTGCGTGGTATGACTCGCAATTTGACTTCTTAAATCGTATAAACTTGGCTTATAGAAAATTTTTGTCTTGTTTTAGCATTATTGTTTGTTGGTTTCATTAAAATATGTTGCCTAACATGTTGAATTCTTAGTTAATAGGAACTTAGAAATTGCTGCTGTCCTTGTATGGTTTCTATGTCTGTTTCTCTTGATGGTAACAACCATTTGCAAGTGATACGGTTTATGACATGCTTAACCTCATGAACTATTGTACTCCTTGGAAATATTGTTGCAGGATCCCCTTGGGGCGTTTCTGATCAAACCTGGAATGAAAGGAGACAGTCCCACCCAGTGCCCATCACCCCCACCACTTGATGCTGAAGGTGACGACGATGACGACGATGATGGGGATGGCGACTTAAGTGAAGGTGAAGGTGACGAGGATTTATCATCTGAAGATGGAGATGACTACGCCAATAACCTTAACGACAATAGTAAAAGTAATTCAAAGAAGAATCCCGAGGGCGGAGCTGGTGGGGCCGAAGAGAATGGGGAGGAAGAAGAAGAGTTTGACGGGGAGGAGGATCAAGATGATGATGGCGATGACGATGATGATAACGATGATGGTGACGATGACGACGAAGATGACGACGGTGATGATGATGATGATGATGGTGGAGAAGACGAGGATGAAGTAGCAGACGAGGATGAAGATGAGGAAGAGGAGGACGAGGATGAAGATGAGGAAGCACTCCAGCCTCCCAAGAAGAGGAAGAAGTAAAATTAGAGAGATGAAAGAAACGACTTAGACACTTTTCATATGTAGCTTTGTTCCCTGACTTCTGGGTTCTTTTCTTTTTTTAAATTTATTTTAGCTTCTTGAGGACGTTTGTTAGGATGTGTTCCAACTTCCAAATTAGTAATTATGTCTCAACTGAATGATTTTAGAGTACTCCTGAACTTCTTTTTGCTGCGGCAGCGATAAACGGCGATTAGTTCCAATGCTTTAATTAATTTGGCTATTCCACTCCTCTTTATACTTTATATTAAAATAAAAATAAAATAAAATAAAAGTCCACTTCTAATAGATATCGTCTATTTTACTCCGTTATATATCGTCAGTTTTTACGGTATGTTTTAGCCCAGTTTTAGTTCGATATACGTCTCCGTCAATCTCACAATTTTAATTGCATCCGTTAGATAAAGGTTTCCACTGTCTTACCAAAAAAGTTTCATTCTCGTTTCTAACCGATGCGATCTCAATTATTGTGATATAAATTTTATGTCATGAATTAAGAGGTGTCTTATTTGAATTAGTCACGGAAGAATTTAGGAAGTGTGATTAAATTGTGATTTGATACATGAAATATGATTGGAGGAGGATAAGTTAGGTCGCAATGGAGAAGGCTGAGGCCATTTTGGGAAGAACGACATTCAACCACTTTCTGGTCTCCACTTGTAAACCCTCTTGCTTTCTTCTTGCTTCACCAAAATTATTCTCTCACAGCTTCTAAATCCTCTGGGGTACCCGCACCAAGCTGGAGACGGCATTTACATGGACACGGGTCATTTCTTCTTCATGTTCTACTAATTCCCTCCACTCTTTCCGCCCATTTTCTGTGTTTCCCGTTTTTTAATTCCCAATGGCGGGTCAACCGTCAGATTCTTCCCCTCTCATTCCACCGGCTCCGATCAGCGACCCCAGTGAGATCGACCTCGAAGCCGGCCAAGGGGAGCAAATACAATGTAGAATTTGCCTCGAGACCGATGGTAATTTGCCGTTCCTTTGTTATTCAGTTTTTTGCTAGGTTTCGACTATTTTTCCGACGATGCTTGATGGGGATTGTTTTCATTTGGGCATGTTAGACATTTTCCTTCTGGGAAATTAACGAAGGCAGCTAATTTTTTTTTTTTTTTCCGCTTTCTTTATACTGACGTTAATTAGAATGATCATCCAGTCAATTGGCTCAATGCAGCGTTTTAGGCACAGTTCTTTGAACCCTAGAACAACAATATTCTAAATTCAAGGTGTGTTTTCTTATGATCGAAAATGTCTTTCACTACGATGAAACTTGAAGTTAAATTAGGTTCTTCGATGTTAAAATTTTGTTAAATTGACCGTTTGTAGGGCTGTAACGAGCTATGTTAACCATTGCAGTCCCCTCCCCTCTCCCCCACTTGGCATTTGTACTTTAGAATTCTTTGGAGTTGCCTGTTCATTTAAAGTCTTGTTTAATGGTATGAGACGGCCGTATCACATAGGGATCATTCTGTAGGTGTTTGATCAGGGGAGTATTTTAAATTGACCAATGTGCGTGTTTCATTGCATAATCAGGTAGGGATTTTATTGCTCCGTGCAAATGCAAGGGGACATCAAAGTATGTTCATCGAGAATGTCTGGATCATTGGCGGGCTGTGAAGGTATGAATGATATCTGACTTCGTAT